GACGATAACGAACACTGTACTAACTACGCAGACGATAACGATTACTTTACCAACTGAACAATTTTTGAGAAAATAACGAACATTTTAAGAACTTCATAGACGATAACGATAACTGTACAAACTACGTAAACGATAATTAACGATCACTGTACGAACGAAAACGAACACTACGCAGACGATAACGATGATATTACCAACAACGCAGACGATAACGATCACTTAACGAACTAAAACGACAACTGCGCAAACGATAACGAACATTTCACGAACTAGGTAAAGAATGACGATATCTTTACGGAGAAAAAACGACAACTACGCAGACGATAACGATCACTTAACGAACTAAATAGATAACAACGCAAACGATGACGATACTTTTACAGACTACGCAAACGATAACGATATTTTTACGAACTAAAACGAAAACTACGAAGACATTAACAATAATTAAAAACTACATTTACAATTGCGCAGAATATAACGAACACTTACGAAATGCGCGGACTGTAACAATTACTGTGCGAACTACGCAGACGATAACGACTACTTTACGAATTATAGCTGACTGTAACGATCTCTTTAAGAACGAAAACAACAAATACATACAGTAACGATTGCTTTACAAACGACGTAGACTGATACACTTATTTTCAAAACACTTTCAAGCCTTAAATTGGGAAGCTTTTTGTGCACATTTAGATGCAAATGTATTTTTCTGTAGTCAGTGAACCTTACTAATCATTATTCTAGATTTTAGTACATATTTACATGATTATTTATAAAAACTGTCATTGCTTTGTTCTCTAGTAAGTAAAATGTAGATGGTGTATACGATCCCTTTTCCAGACACCTGAATGTATATTCTGGGGATTCCAGGAATGGGATCCCTATGTGCCATAGGTGAACAGGGTTCAAGGTGATATCAGAGAAAGTTAGTATATATTTAGTATATATAACCTCAGCCTCGTCAGCGTGTAATATATTCTTTAGAAATTGCCTACAACCTGTGAAATTTTTAAGTGTTTCAATTGTTCRTGGATGTGTAAATTCCTTTCATTACTGTGGACTGTAGTCAAATTCTAAAGAATAATTACACGCTGACGAGGCTGAGGTTGAGTAACGGGATCCGTGAAATGGCCTATGTAGCTTTTTAAAACAAAAAACGGTTTTGAATGATTCAGATTTTGCATATTTATTAAAATAGCTTTCAGTAAGTAAAATAATTATATATGTATTATTTAAAGTAGAAGCAATACTTCTTTATAGCATAATATTCATTGAAGAATTCTTACAGTCAAATAACATTTATAATATTTGTAACAGCGTAAATTATTTTATTTTCTTCATATTATTTATATATAATAATATTTATTTATAATGCTGATAATGAGAGATAATAAAATGTACTATGTATCATGTGTATAAGCTGAGTTGTATTCTATTGAATGTGAATCTTGGTTTGTTATTTTATACCTTTATTTCAAAGATAAAACGGATTTTACACGTGCGTCTGCAGTCCGAAATTCTATTAAATGTACTCCTAAATAGAATATAATGAAGGAATGTAGTAAAATTGTTTTATGTAGACAAAAACGATATTGTATGGAATTGATTAGTGTATAA